CCTAAGTATGTGTGTATGTGTATGTGTGGTGTGTCTGCCTGTGCTTTTGAAACCTCTACCTGCAACATCAGATCTAGGCATCTTAGCCACAACAATCTCACCATTTTTATCATGGATGAACATTACGCAATGAAAATATGGAGCATGTGATTGAGTAGATCATATAGATAAGGATGTTCGTGCATATAAATAACCCTTAGCATTCATCTCAGAAACTGATTGATTCGTGTTGATTTCTAATGCAATTTTTGGTGCAGCTCTTTTTTTCAAGAGTGATCATTTATAAACGTTATAATGCGAAACTGCTTGGAAAAAAATATTTCACTCGAGCGCTGAAATAAACCGAAGCGAAAGGAAAAAATCTAATTAAGGAAGATGGAGTTTATTTTTAGACGATTCAATCATGTTTAATATGTGTAATGTTGTGTTGTGAGGTTCTCTCTTTCTCTCTCTCTCTCTCTCTCTCTCTCTCTCTCTCTCTTTCACATTTTCCTCTCTTTCTTTTTTTTTCATTCTTTCTCTTTCTTTCTTTCTCAGTGTTTCCAGCTTTTAGTTATAGGAAACATTCGCGCGCTGTTGAGACATTGATTTATTAACCTGTCTACGTACATGAGAGGCTGTTGTTTTATGGATAGGGTTAATTGATGTTGTAGTTTTTGCTAATTGATAATGCATGGGCGGTGAAATGGTGTAATGGTTAAGGTGCCTGCCTAGCCTTGCAGCTGCAGTGACCTGGCTTCGAATGCCAAGAAATCCTCGTCCATAATCCATAACATACAATGAGTGTAAGATGTAGATTATAGTGTTTATATATAAGAGAGAGAGAGAGAGAAAATATATACAATATAGAATGTGTAAAGAGAGAGAGAGAATATATACAATATAGAATGTGTACATAAAAATATTATATTAAGTATAATACGCTAAATAGAAAATATTGAATCTGAATAGAGCAATTAGATAGAGCGTGACATTAGGAATTGAATAGAGTGAATCATCATGAAGCCATAAAAGGCCTTGTAAAGCGGAACGATTTCTTCACGCCAATGAATAAAATAGGCTAACAATGGCGATGAAATTCGCCGTGGAAAATGTGGGAGAATTCGCACGCGCAAGAATAAAAATATCTTTTTTTCGATTTGAAAAATGTTTTGAGAGAATTTTTGTGAAGATTAGCATCTGCTATACGGAATAATATATTATAATAATGAATAATAAACTCACGCTATTGACGTATCATCATTTTTTATTATATATATAATAATATTATTAAGAATTATTGCATCCTTGCATCCACCCAGACTTAATCCCTCTTCTACCTACATACGCCTGTCTGAATACACTCAACAACTCCATCGACAAACTCATTTGTCACAATTTAAAATGCTCTAAAATGAGAGAGAATCCTATTTGCAAATCTATAGATTGGAGACACTCTAAAAAATCTAGTTTCTAGGTTGATGCACTGAGATTGTAAGACTCACATAAATAAAAATTTAACTAGAAGTTTGAAAGTTTAAAAAAAAAACAAGTTTTGATTTGGATAACTATATATTCCAATTGGTTTTGTATGAAATCTGGATTTAAATCTACCAAACTGTCAAAATTAACACATGAAAATGTCCTAAATATAAGTTATTCTATTCGAACATTGTCTAATTACAAATTTCAATCACAGACATCCGCCCATCCATCCAGTCTTTAGCGCATACATCTTCATCCAAAACGCATTTAAGACATCACTCATAGGCAGCCAACTCATCACTCATATGTCCATTCATATCGCTAGCTACATATCGTCCGTATCTGTGAAATGTCTGCCATGCCTCGCGTCATAGTCAATAACCGAGAATTTTAAAAAGTTTTAATTTGTTTATTTATATTTTTAAATAGTAATTCTTTTTATTTTTTTTTAAATTTCGACTCTGACGGATGCGACGGAGTTTGTTGCAGAGTGGAAATGACGAATTAAAATCGTATCATACGCATCGACTGTACACACTATTTACATATTTCCTTCTTTTCCATTCTTTTTTTGGCTAAAGTTCGTATTATTTTCTCAAAATTTTGCAGTCTGGTTTCACTTAAAAATAAAATTTAAAGATCTAACTTTTTGTTTTCATCCACTCCATCCAATCTTATTATTTTCTTTAGTTTGAAATACAGGCAAGCAACACGAAAACTTGTCTTTCAAGAAGTTCGCTTTGACGCTCATTCAGTATTTTTGAAATACTTCGTTTTAAAAAGAGATTAATAATATAAAAAGAAAGAAGGATATAGTTTATAGCAATATACCTAAATATAATTATAACATTATCTATATTTGACGGCAACCTTAATTATTACAAGCACACTCACTGTTGTACTATGTATACATGTACAATATACATGAAACGTAATAACAATCTACTATATTAGGAAAATTTGAAAAGAGCATCTATTTACTATGATATTTAATCTCTTATGAGAATTTAGCTGCACAAGGCTGCAGACTTTGATGGATGGTTTCCATTTTTGTCGTCTTCAATGTCGGAACTGCCGGCAGGTGATTTGGGGGAATAGTTGGTTGGATGTTTTTTGGTGAAATTTTGTGATGTATGGAGGAGTTTTATCTGTTTTTATTTTCAATGGACTAAATTTATGTTTTGTCTGAAAATTTGATTTTTATCATTGTCATTCACTTTCACAAGCTTTACTTTATCTTCATATTAAATATAAATATTGCACATTCTGTTAAATTTCAAAACATTACCGATTGATTTTCTGTATTTGAAAGTATTGGACAGATACAGAATTATATGAATTTATTAATTTGTCAATGTTTGAAGTCTGACTTTGAATTCTTTTTAGTGTCAAACAACAAATAACTACACTCGCTTATTATATCGTTTCGGATTGTTGATACCTCACACAGTGAAGTACTCCTATGATATTCAATGTAAATCCTTCCACATGATCTAGTTTCGACACAAAATTTCATATTAAATTTGATTTCAAAGCTTTTCCAGTTTGGAGAAAAATTTATCATAAAAAATTATTCTAAGCAAAAAAAACTTTATTCTCGTCGAAATTAAACCATTAATTTTTTTTTTCATTTCCAAATACAATGTTCGGTGCACTTACGAGAAAAATTATTTGTATGTTCAGCAGTGTGCGTGTGTGTGTGTTTGTGTGTGTGTTTATGTTTATGTTTGTGTGTGTGCGTCTATGTTTGTGTGTGTGTGTGTGTGTGTGTAGTATGTGAGTGTGTAATTAAAACAGTAGTAAACCACATGCAAAAGGAGAAAATTATTTGGAAAGCTGGTGCAATAAAAGTAATGAAACAATGAGAGAATAAAATTTAATTGAAATTCTGTGTAAACAATCCAAACGACTTTTTAGAGGAAAAGAGAGAGAGAGAGAGAGAGAGAGAGAGAGAGAGAGAAAGAGAGAGATTAAATATTCAAAGCGTTGTTTACAGTTTTAACAAAAAGTAACAATAGTTGTCTGTGTGTGATAGAAGTGAGACAGACATTACATTTAATGAATAAAATTAGAAAAAATTCGAGTAAATTTAATAACTCTTTACAATTTATTTTTGGCAATTTACAAAAGTATGTGAGAATAGTATAAGCAGCGAACCCAGACAGTTAACCATTACACCATCTGTTTTTTTTCATCTGTCTTTTACTCGAGAACAACTTTACAGCAGTATGTTTAAAGTTATTTTGAAATATAGCCAAAGAACTCACGACATAGCAGAAGGTAGCGTTAAAATTTATTTGCGGCATACATGCAAGTTATAAACACGCGGGAACCCTAAATGTTTGAAGGGGCCATTTATACGGATTAGTTTTTTGTTCTGGAAAACAAACTTTCATAATAACTTTTCAGAATTATTAAATTAATAATATTTTTTCTGTAATAAAAAAAATAAAATTTATAAGACATTGATTTAGTTTAGATTTGATTGAATCATTGATTTAGATTGATTTAGACATTGGTATAGTCCGTCTCATTCCGCAAAAAACGAACGAGGAACACGTAGTTTGGCCCGAGAATACAAATATGTCTGCTTGTTTTTGTCTGTTCTTGTTAGGCGCGTATCCATCCAGGTATTTATTAATCGAGATCTCCATCCTATCTTGCTCCATGATCATTATTATTCCAGTAATTTTCGTTTTTGCTTACGTCGTATTAGTTTCCATGTATAATTCGGTTCGGTTTGGGCTCAGTGTGTGATAGTGTGTGTGTTTGTGTGTGTGTTCGTGTGTGTGTGTGTTGTTTTTGTGTGTGTGTTCGTGTGTGTGTTTGTGTGTGTTCATGTGTGTGTTGTTGTGTATGTGTATATGTGTGTAAGTGTGCTTGAAATAAAGACAAATAAAAAAAATGTCATTATTTAGGTACAATCAATCTCGTTCCTTTCAAATATACATTGGACATTATGTTAGAAACATTCAATTTCAAAAATAATATTGACTTTCGACAAACTTATGTTATATCGTAGAATACTATAATAAATCCTTTACAATACAATGCAATACAATACATTTTTATTTCTAAATTGAAGCAATTGATGCAAGAGATTTGAATATTTTTAAAAACTGTACATATATAGATTCAATTATTGAATGAATAAATAATTGAAAGCTATTACAACTAAGCTACTACTATAACCTGACTCAGCATATTTTTATTGTTATTATCACCAATAGGTTTTTATAATAATTTTAATCTTTCACTTTTTAAAATTTCGTGGCCGGATTCTTTCAACGATGAATTGATAGAGACTGTCATAAAGCTATCGTATGACAGAAACAATTCGTGATATATTGTATATTTGAATATACTTCACCGCTATGTTCTTTTTCTAAAAAAAAATGAGCATTGTGGCAATCATTGACATTTTATTACATCTTATTACAATATTGTGACAGTTCATTATTTTATTTTAATACTTATTTATTGTCTTTGCTTTGAAATAATAGAGTTCTCATTAAACACAGAAAACAGAAACTTACCCTAAGGTCGTCATAGTGACAATGGTGTACCAGAAAGCTTCTGGGATGCTGGTGAATGTGGTCTCTTCGACGTTCTTCTCGGCGTAGTACATGATCGTGGCGAAGATGATGATGGCCATGCTTAGGGAGAATAGCAAGAAACCTAGCTCACTGGCGCAACTTTTCAGGGTGTAGCCGAGAATTCTTAGTCCTTTTTTGGTCGAAATGTCGTTTGAAAAATTTATCGCGATGCTGGAAAATGTTTAGTTTAACTGATGATGTTAAATAATGAAGGTTTCATTTTTGAATGAAGTTGGATGTTTAATTAAGAAAATTAGTGGGATGGCTGGTTGATAAAAACATTATGAATAATAATAAACTTACGGAATCACCACTGATCTACACAGTTTTGTTAGAAGTGAACATAAATTAATTGCACAACGTAAGATTTTTTCAAATATTAAAAAAAAATTCAATTCCACTCACCTTGTGAATGCCTGGAAAATTTAAAAATTCTAAAAACTCTGAAGACTCTCAGAGTGACAAAGGCTCCACCGAGGTCTTTGTTATCGGGCAGACACAAGCCTATGTAGTAGGGCAGGATGGCTACAGCGTCGATGACACTCATCACGGACCTCAGATGTTTCGCCCTGTTCGGAGCCGCATACAACCGCATCATGTACTCAGTCGTGAAGATTATAACGCAAGCAGTGTCCAGACAAAATAATTCAGACTCGTACATTTCACCGCAGCTGATGGTTCGGTCGGGTTGGTTTGTATGAACTGGAGGTAACTGATAAAAAAAATCTTCACTCTCAGACTTTGGAGTGGCCGAGTTTTTTGGTGTAATACTGCCGCATGGAATTGTTTCGATGACGTTTGCTAGCACGGACACCGCGATGAAGAACCCTGTGACGTAATAGAAGACGAGTGCAGTCGTGTTGGCTTGCGGGTTCTCAAAGGTGTTCCACATCCGTTCGCGTACGGCTGCCTTTGCTCCGAGTGCCTCTGCTGCCTTTTGTGATCAAACGTTCACTTTGTTTAACAATTCGGAAAGATGAAGTTGCAGATTTTCGGTTTTATTTGCTTTTTCAATATTGTTTATATCATACAAACTTTTAAAGTTGAACAAAATACTTAGTTTTATATAATTTTCATTTTGACGGTTTGAATCCTACAGAATTTATTTAAATAGCCCTCACGACTTCAGCGCCAGCCAACCTGCGCCTTGGCGGCCAATTCTTCTGCAGCTGCTTCGGCCGCGTCTTCGGCTATCCTTTCTTGGTTCTCTCGCTTCCTGTCACTATAAACAAATATTAACCTATTTATTTATTCATAAAAGTTACAATCTACGATTGATGACGAGTACCTAAAATTGAAATTACATTGCTATGAACGAGAATTGACAAGTAAATACACTGTTGTACATCTCATCTCAAAATTTGTCTGCACGCTACATTGTGTACAGAGATGTACGAAATACGTTTCTGCCTGTGTATGCCTCCATAAATTTTTTAAGGACCGAGCGCGTTATTAATTTTTGCATTCCAGCCTGTCATCCGCTTCATATTCATTGCCATGCAGAAGGGAGAACGTTCCATGTGCAATTTCTACTATTGAGAAAAATTATGAAAGGTTAGAACTTTTGAAACTCTCAAGGTTAAAACCCCTCAAACATGAAAGTTCATAACTTTTCAAACTCAAAATTATTATTTATTAACTTTTATTATAGACAAGACTCTATCTTTCGAATGCTAACTAGTTGGCCAGGAATGCGCCCAAGTAAAGTAAGAACAACTCCAAAAGCCACCCCGCACCACCCTTAGCTCAAATATTTATCGGCATGAATAACAAATTTTTTGAAAATTTGTCTCATAAAATGTACTATTCATAGGAAAACCATTTTATTTCTCAATAGAGTCAGCGTAGCAAAGACATGTAATATTCCCAAGACTGGCAGAGAGAGAGAGAGAGAGAGAGAGAGAGAGAGAGAAAGGAAGAAAGAGAGAGAGAAAGAGAGCAGCTAACGCAGCGGAAAATTATTGTTAAAATGTCTGCTAAATATTAGACACTTTTAACATTTTTTTCAAAAAACGTCATCTTGTACTTGTTTTATAAACGTTTTTGTTGAAAGCATGTTTAACAGACACAAAGCACCATGAATTATTAAATATTTTAAACTTTGCCACCTTACTGCTATAAAAAATTGTAACACGTAACACTCCAGCACAGGAACAACATCATACAAAATGGATAATAATGGCATCTTTTTTTGGAGTTAAAGCAAGCAACAGACATTTTATTTAGATTTAAATTTTTTTTTGCAAAATCGAAACAAATAACAAACATTAAATATGCACACGTTAAACAAAATCATCAGAGAAGAGTTTAAGTAACACCGGGTTTATTTCCATTCCACATAAAGAGCATGGATCATAGTTAGAGCACTTAGTTTTAAGCTGTTGATGGTGTACGAGGCTGAGACGCTGAGACGCAGATGCATTAAAATTTCAAGAAAATCACACTTCTGAAACAAAACCGTGATACTTAACACATACTAAAAAAAACACACAAACACAAACACTCACAGCAGGCAGGTACATACACAAACACACACACAGACACAAACATACCAACACACACACACACATACATACAAATAAACAATAGCATACACACAGAGTCACACATACACACACACACACTAATGTATACAAATGCACACGCACCAAACAAAAACACAGGCAAAAAATTCTTGTTTGTGCGCGTGACACACAGACAAAGTACATCAAAAAATTTTTATGAAACGCAATGGAAGTAAAAATACGTACAGATAAATATTTCTATATAAAAAAACATTTTTAAGAAAAAACTTCAAAAAGATTTTTTCAATGAATTAAGTATTAATGTATCTATCTAATATGCCGTGATAAAAACATCGGAAAAAACATTTTGTTAGCATCAGAAATTTGCACATGCTCCTCTAGTGGTGTTTAAAAAAGTAACGGTTTCGTGTTCGTCTTTAAAAGATTTTTTATGACAGCTTCATAACAATTTAAAAATTTTGAAAATATTTTATTTCAAGTTCTACCTACCTATAGAACAGAAATGACATTTAAATATTTTGCCTCCAAGATATGTCGCTAGACATTCAAAATTTCAAAATTCAAGATATTTCACCATTTTAAATAATAAACAGCAACAACAAAATTGGTCCAAAATGAGTCAAGATTCACCCTGCAGTTAAACCACTTCAATAGGTAAAACATACTTTTTCTAAAATTAAATAATTTCCAGAATAAACGTTAAAGATAACCGATAATCTTCTTGGCAGCAGTCGCCAATGCTGTCCTGACCGAGTCCGAAGAAGTCCAACTCATCATCGAACGCAGCCACGCATTCATCCTTCGGCCAGTGTAGACTGCCAGATCTATAGAAGGCAAGAACTCGCCTGCCAGATAAAAGGTTAAAGGTCAATTTTTATTTTCTGTTAAAAGGTTAAAGGCAGATTTTTTATTTAAAGGTTGAAGGTCAATTTTTATTTTCAACTGAAAGGTTGATTTGTCAAATGGCCTCATTTCAAACGTATCGACAACAAATGTTATGTTATTATTTTAAACAAATTTTCTCTCAGTATGCAACGAGAGTATCAAATTTTTAACATACGCAGCCTATATAAACACACCGAAAAACCACACCACACAGACATAAAAGGGGCCTATTTGCAGTTGAAGCCGGTCAAGGCAAAACAGAATCAAGCGCCTTTAACCATTACACTACCAGGTCGTAGTGACATTCATCTAACTCAGCAATTGTTGTTAGAATCCACAAAGATATAATGCATACATAAAAAGCATTGCATGATTTATATAATATATTATAATTATATTATATTATAGCATAGTATATTATAATTATTATATTATATTATTATCTTTATATAATCTAAAGCCTGATATCAACCTGAACAGTTCAGGATCTCTATCGAAGAAGTACTCGCCAGCGTCGTCATCAAAGAAAAATTCCTTCTCATCCGATCCCAACAGCGTGTCCGGATACCTGAATGGGAGTGCGGTTTCAATTATATCCTGGATAAATGTTACAAAACATTGAAATCTTTAACAGTAACATTGTAATTAATTTTATTCATGTCCCTGTATGAGCTCATGTGATTAGAGTAGATTTTGTTAAAATCATGTTTTCTTCATTTTAAGTTTTGTTCTTTTTTCATGGAAAATACAAACAAGTATACAGATATTTATGCGTGAACAGATTAATATTTATAAATAAATAAAGATAAATATGTATTCTCGAGAACATTTTGTTTTTTTTATTGCCTAACCAAAAGTTATATTTTATTGACACGAACATTTCGATGACTGTTATATTTTTAATGTTCCACCGAGGCTTTCAAGTGCCGCCACTTGAAACCAGCATTCATTTCTAAGTGGAAAAAATTGTTTTTCATTTTATGTGAAACTATTAATTAGCAATTAAATTTTAATTATGTTACAATTTTCTCCGAAATGCTAACTTTTAGTAGTATGTATTATGTGACGTGAATTTTTTCCATATTGATTTCAAAATCTGATAATTTAGTTTATATTTCTGAGACAAAAAATTCTACAACAATTAGAAATCAGTAAAATCTAAAACATCTGATCAAACTCTGCGTTAAAAAGTTTTCTATTGAAACGTTTGTTATGTCAAATAATTCGACTTTCTTAAAAGTTGTCCTGCAATTTTTTCATTTGTTAAGTCGCCAAAAACCTTTTCAATACTACAAAATTAACTTTTTTCAGGTTAAATTTCCCGCTTCATTTTTGTTATAAAACGCTGCAGTGTCATCTAACTCGCACAAATTATACAAAACCAAGAATATTAATAAAGATTCATAATTATTCACCATTCAACTTACAAACAGCTCATAAAAATAAACGCATTTGATACACACACACACACCACACACACACCACACACACACCACATACACGCACACATACACGCACACATATCATAATACAGAAAACGTGAATAAAATAAGCATGAACCGAATTAAAAATTAAAAGTCACAATCGTAAAAACCAACAAAAGATTATCCGCCTGTAATAAAATTAATGGCCGCGTTCCAACAACGAAAAAGCAATTTGATACACCCACACGCAACGAAGATCTTTTTTTTTTGAAGAAAAAAAAACATGCCATAACAAACAAGTCAGTGCCTATACATTCTAATCATTTATTCATTTATTTAGATTTGTATTTCCTTCATTCAATGACTGGATTTGAATCCAGAGGATTCCCTGACTATCACATGCAATCCGTGCGATTCGTTGATTCACATTAGTTGTTGCATGCGGGGGTTTTGTAAAATCTGGAGTCAGACGTTTAGACACTGTCGACTTTTGCAAGCGTGTTGCGTTGTTTTTGTCATTAAGTTTGATTTAGTATTGTTGTCATTGTGTCAATATTTAATTTCACTTTTAAAAAATACAAAGTTCCTAACTACTTTTCAATCCGTCTAGCTTTTTCATGTCTTAGAGCTTCACAATACTATACCCTTATCGCGCCGACCACCTGCCAGCCAGTTGTTTACATTTCAGAGATAATCCCACCCCATTGGTTGTGTGAACCTCGGCCATTCGTTCACGACAGATCTTTTACAATCAATCCTTGGCTCGCTACATTCATCTTTTTGATATTTTTATTTCATTTTTTTAGAAAAGTAAATTTCTTATTTATTACCTGCATTAAAATGACGTTTTATTCCAAAAATTTTTATATTACACCGAACAAGTCATGAACCAATTGGTCGGATGATTTAATTATCTATTTATACGCAGAGAATATTTTAAAATTATATACTTTATAAAAATAAAACTGCTTAATACAAGCTTGTCTGCGTTTCTGTTAAGTTTCACCACAGAATTTTTGGAAAGGTTTTATACATATTATTAGATACACAGCATTACTTATAGACGATGATTCAATCCCAAAACCTATTTCTTCAATCAGACTGATTAATTTAGCCTGTTGAATAAAAAAGATAAAAAAAAAACAAACAAATAACTGTATGTTTAAATCGTCATAAAGCAATATTAGAAGCAAGCTCATGCACCTAAGTTGAATGATGTTGTATGTTTGTACAAATTATGTATACATGTTCATTCATCTAAACATTTAGTGCTGCACATCAGAGTGTTGTTTAGGCTTGTTGTTTCGTGTTTTACCTGTCATAAATGGATTTTAGCAAGCTTTTTTTCTATTTTTTTTCTCGAGTGTTTGTATGTTTTTTTGTTGTTGCTTTGTTAATTCGACGATGATGTGTTAGTTAGAAATTAGAGGTTTTTGTAACTAATTTATATTTTTAATATTGGGAATTTTTAAGGATTTTAATTTATCTCCTGGCCGCATTCTTTTTTTTCTTTTTTTTTTCTTTATTTTTATCTTCATTACTTTTTACTCATTTTTTTCTTTCTTTTTCTCTTCTTTTCACTCTTTCTTTTTTCTCTCTCTTTCTCTAAATGTATATCCTCCACTTATTTTTTTATTTATATTTCCGTAAGCGTTTTTTCGACTGCTTGCCTGTTAGTTTGTAAATGAGCCCGTCGCGAATATAAAAAGAGATTTTTATAAATAAATTATTAAAGATCCAGTTGAGAACTATGCACTGAAATAATTCATATATAATTAAAAAATAGATATAAAAATTTAGGATAATCTAAATATTCTTACAATTATTCACACTCATATTTTTTTTTAACAATAATAATAAAAAAATTGTATCAAACTGATGAATTTGTATTTACATAAGAAAGGTGTTTTCAAATTTACCAGCACATATGAGAAACAAAATTCTAAAGACCTTGAAATCTAGAAAAACAACACATCTCACGTAGAATGTAGACACATTTAATTACACGCTCAACAAGTTTGAAAACCGCAAAAGTGCCAGGAGCAAATATTTTTCAAAAAAAAAAGAGTCCCAAAGTTAATTTATTTTTTTTTGTCTGACTAATTGAGAAGCGAACTGAAAAACTGGAGAAGTTGAAAATGTTATTTCGGGCGTCTTACCTTCAAAAGAATGTCCCCATCACGTCATCCGTCACTTTGAATGCTGCCTCAAAGTCGAAATGACGTCACGAAAGATGACGAAGAAAAACCGGCATGTCTGTTTTTGTTGTTTTGATTTTTTTTTTCTTTTTCAAACTTTTTCCAGCTTAAATTTTGTTTCAACTCCCGCTGCTTTTTTATGTTTTCTATGTATCATTTTTGTAAAAAATTTTTACAGTATTTGCAACTAAAACCAAATCATCCTCCCTCACGACTCCAGCATTCAAGTTATAAGAGACGTTTTTTTGATTAAACAATTTAATGTGCTGTCAACTTGCCATTCAGGTATATTTTTTTTCATTGTCCCACTGTGATGAGTAACATTTCTTCCATTACATTGTGCTCTGCCCTGCTGCATGCAGCGTAGCGTTCAAAAATTTTCACACTCTCCCTCCGATCTTTTTCTAACATTTACGACTCGCAAAAAATTGTTGCGCTCTTGCCAGGAAAAACGAAATTGAATTTAGCAAAAATTTTTTTTCTGACTAACCTATAAAAATGTCTACAATATGACATTACAGAACAACACAGAACCCAAAGTTTAGAGTAATTTAAAGGAAATGTATATTGCTGTAATATATAAGAGGAAAAACTAACAACATAAGGGGAAGTGTATTAGGTTAGATGCCTGGTTCTGCTGCTGTTGTAACCAGGTTCTAAAGCTAAGATACCACACGCGTTTGATGTGCGAATACACGCGCGTACTCACGTGCGCTGTAAGTGCTTGTTTTTACTGATGTTTCTGAGAAGTAATTTAAAAAATTTCATTAAAATATTCATAATAGTAATGATGCGTCTTTATAATAATAACACCAGCATAGAACAAAAAATAACCAAACTATAACACAGAACAGCTAATATAGAGCCACAAAATTAACCAGAGTAGAACACGCATTGCCTAAAATAAACTGAACCATTTTGGAAACAGGGGAGTGAGAAAAAGAAAGAGAGAAAGAGAGAGAGAGAAAGAGAGAAAAGGAAGAGAAAATATAAATAAAAAGAGAGACAGACTGTTTTGGAAACTGGAAAAAAGAGTATGAGATAGAGGATGGAGAGAAAGAGACGAAAACAGAGAAAAAGAGAGAGAGAGGGAAAACGAGTTGTGTAGCGGAGCCAAAAATAACAGTGACCAAAGAATAAATTTAATTCATTTATATATTGTTTTACCTGCCTTTCACGAGTGCCGCATTAGGGAGCTGCGTTAATTTTTATAGCGCCATGTAAAAATAAACAAATAATTTGTATAACACCATTTTTATCATGTTTCATTTATCATTTTTTGTCATAATGTTATCAAATTTCATTTTACTATCATTGTATTTTTATTTCATGATCACAAACCCTTGCGGAAATTAGCTCTTAAATGATTTTTAACTCAAATAAAAATTAACTCATCCATAAATTAGATATTATGATATTACACTACATGCTAATATGCACATGCAATTTGCCATACATAAAATATATGTTTGTGTGTGTGTGTGTGTGTCTGTGTGTGTTTGAGTATGTGTCTGCATGTGTCTGTGGTGTGTTACAGGTATGTAATGCATAGGTGTAAGTGTACTGTAAATGTGTATGTGTTTTTGTGTGTTTGTATGTGTATATAATACATATTCGTGTGCATTCATACTCTCAGATGTTTTAAAATCAGAATCATTTATGAAAGTATTAATCGTAAAATCTATAAAAACATATATAAACTTATTTTAAGTAGCATTTTCTCAAACGACATGGCATGGCTGTCATCGTGAAAATGGAGAATGAAGAAAGGCAGGAAAAAATGTAAAATAAATTCACGTAATGATGGCCGAGTCATGTTTTATATTGATTTATCAACGACAATTTATCATTCCCACTAATGCGAATTTATTGTTCTATATCAATTTTTGTTTCTTCTTTTTGAAAAGTTATTGGGAGTTTGTTCGGTGGCATTGGGATTGTTGTTTTTTCGAAATTCATTTTCAATTCTTTAAAATTCAATTTTGGCTACTTCGAATTTTGCCATTAAAATTCGCTGTCGTTTATTAAGTATCCAATATTTTTTCATTTTTAGCCAAGAAACCTAGTAGTTGGTGCATTGGCTCAGCCGGTAGAAGTGCCACGTCTCAAGCTTCTATATCGCGAAAGCCTGGTTCAAATACAGCACGTCCGAAAACTCAAAAACTTCCGTACATATAACATACGTATATGATACGGTACTTGCGCGTGCATACGCAATGCCTATTACGTTTTTGATGTAGGAAGACCTGCCACAGTGTAGAAAGATGCGCGTACGCAGTTTTGCGTATATCTGAACCGCGTACAAAAAATAGAAATTTTTATCAACGGATTACATGTCGTCACTATGTTTCTTTTTTTGTCTGTATTTTGCAACAGCCAGGCCAGTCACACTTAAATCATTGCACTACCGTGCCAAACTCTACAAACAAGTAAATGTTTATAAGTCACGCAAAGATTTCTAAGGTATGGTGGCAGTCATTCATTGTTGTCATTGTTGTTATGGTGATTTGATGCGTTCTAAACACTGCGTTACATGTTTACAATTTTTATTATTCCTTTAAAAACATTATGTTTTTTTTCTTTGCTGTTTTCCATACGTGACTTTCCATTTGCGATGTCATTACTTTCATTGGTCGGAGGAGGATGACAAAAATAGAACTACATTCTATTCGTATCTGTTGCATATTGTTTGGGCAAATGTCTCTCTGATTATCATCTTACATGCAATGCGTTTGTTATGAAGAAGTTAGGAAGAATGAATGATTCGGTGGTGCATTAAGTTCCGATTTCATTGATTTGAGAAAAATATTCAGTTGCGTGTGTGTTCTATTATTTTGATGATGTACGTTCATGCTGTTATTTTTATTTGTTTAATTATTTATTTATTTATTCATTCATTCATTCATTCATTCATTCATATACTTTGAGAAGCCGGTTTATTGTGCCACAGTTTATTGAAATCAACAGCATCACCAGTCTGACCAATTTAGCCAAATCTTGATGTGTTTAGTTAAATCGGCTTCTTTTGGTTATATTACACTTTTAAAATACATATGGCTAAATTTATACCATAGAACTTTGAAAAATTCTGCCGAATTCAAATAACCAGAATGTAACATACATTGAAAAATTTATGAGTTGAATTATTTAAATTTAAACGGACATTATGAGATTTGTTTTTAAATTAACTCTTTCGAAATTCAAATTTGCTCTCAATTAGTTATAACCATACGACGGCCAACATGTTTGAGTTGAAATTTTTCCGAGGGCTATCAAACAAATTATTGGATATTTTGTTCCCAAAATCGTTTTGATAACAAGAATAAATTCAGAAAAAGTTGTAAAATGAGCCATAAAACTCAACAATATTACAAAATTGAGTGCACAAGTGACATGGATGTAATGATTCCCTTCCAACACGAATGTGTTTCAACTTCGTTAAGGTTGGGCTGTTGTTATTTGCTTGGCCTATCCATCATTCAAGATGCACGTACATTTTAAACCGGTTCTCCGTCCAATCAATCATTCCCTAAGCTTCTCATTTTTTTAAACTGGCTCACTTACTGCTTTCTTCTCACAGGCCGGTTAATACTTTTTGCTACGTTTAAATACTCCTCTGTTTGACGTCAGAAAAAATTTTTAATGTTTATTTTAGTTTTAGTTTTTTAGTTTTTTTTTAATTTCTTCACATTTAAAAAATTATTTTAATGATTGTTTATGTCTTGTTCATGAGTTTATAAGTTAAATATTTTCCTCAAAAAATCACGCAGCAACTAAATCGTTCATTAAACAATTTTATGTTTATGTATTCGTGGTGGGTACGTTTATATTTGAAATTTTCATATCGAGACAGTTACAAAAACTACATCTTTAAAGTTTGTAAACATATACATCAATCAATCAATCAATCAATCAATCAATCAATCAATCAATCAATCAATCAATCAATCAATCAATCAATCAATCAATCAATCAATCAATCAATCAATCAATCAATCAATCAATCAATCAATCAATAAATCAATCAATCAATCAATCAATCAATCAATCAATCAATCGCTAAATAAACTAGCCAAACAACCAAACTATTCTCCCATAATATAATTACCAAAATAACAAAACTGCCCTCCAATTAGGTAAACCTAGCACCAAACAAACCAAACTCATTCCCAATTACATATCCATGCACCCATACAACCAGGCTACATGCCTCAATTAAAATACCCACCACCCAACAAAACTATCTCCAATTATAACCTTTAGCACCCGACCAACCAAACTTTTCACCAAATACAACCCCCCAGCCCATAACAAGCTAAACTACCCCCCACCAATTTTATAACTTCCAGCACCTACCTGTCCAGTGTATGCTTCCAAGTTTCAAAAATCTGGCCACTAACGTTGATTCGCAGACGTTGGTCGGAACTCGCATTGTTCTCCTTCCCTGTGATGGCCAGTGGCACTCGGGGCAGTTGGTTTCGCCCGATGGGGATCCACCCTATGGCCGCGGCCCTCACGAATGGCAGCCACGCAGCTACCGACACCATTGACGTGTGTTGTGGTGGTGATTATGATGATGAGGATGTTGATGATGATGACGATGATGTTGATGATGGTGGAATTAATGATGATGATGTTTATGAGGATGAAATTGATGATGATGATGATGTTGATGACGATGATGCTGATGGTGTTGATATGGCTCCGAAGATGTTGTTGCAATGATGAATAGCGGTGCGCTTGTTACGGTTTGTTGATAAATTCGTATCAATGTTGGTGACAATCGTATTAAAATCAGAGCAGCAAATATTTAGTTATTTATTCATTCTCAGATGGTGTGCTGATGAAAACTGGCTGATGATGATGGTGGAATGATGTCAGATGTGGTGATGAAGAAAGGTGATTTCAGATGAGATGATGAAGAAGAAAAGTGATTTCAGATAAGATGATGAAGAAGAAATGTGATTTCAGATGTGGTGATGAAGAAAGATGATTTCAAATGAGATGATGAAATAAAAGGTGATTTCAAAAAAGATGATGAAAAAGAAAGGTGATTTCAGATAAGATGACAAAGAAGAAAGGTGATTTCAGAGGAGCCTGTTTTTATTACAGAGACGCCAAATGTGTTGATGATCGAATCCAGGATGCTCCGTCATTATAAAACCTCGCAAATATCTCTCAGCAACAATCATTTGGTCGTTAGGTTTTGTTATTGCCATCGAGCAAGAGATGGGATGAATGAAAATTTTCCTAGGCAGACGAAAATAATCTCATTCCCACTTGTTTCTATCTGTTGTTTTTGATTCTGTTAGTTCTATCGTTGTTGTTTTTGTTGTCGTTTTTGAGAGTGTTGTTGTTTTAGATGGTGTTGTAATTTATCTCGCCTTTGTTTTTGGCATTGTTTTGAAATTTTTTAGCTAGAGTGAAGACAAAGTGAATGTGCACCAAGAAGACTGTACACAATATTGATTATGCCCATTACACTTTCACTCTCGTGGCGATAATATATTCTGTCCCTTTCAACTTGCAGAATGCTTTTTCTTGTCCGAATGCAGTCTCGTCTTTTCACATTCCAGACGTAGGAATAAATTGTGTTCATGTGGGTTTTTGTTGTTCATTCTATCCAGGGCAGTTTAGACATTTTAGATATTTTTGTGTGATTTTTAGGCTTTTTAGGCTTGAGTTGGATTCCGATTTGGCTGAGCTGAGATGTGAAATACGGTAGCAGTGTTAACGGTGTCATAAAATTTTAAAAAAATTTCCACAAATGTATATAACATAGTAACACAGTGAAAGTGTGTGGCGTTAATCGAAACATTTCATGGCATGTATGCATTTGTTTTCATCAGAGCCCGCGTTTATCACGCTAATCCGATAATAATAATTTATTTGTTTTTTTTTTAATTTTTTTGTTTATTTCTCTATTCGGTAATTCATTTATTTATTCAATCATTCATTCATTCATCCATCCATTCATTCATTCATTCATTCATTTATTCATTCATTCATTCATTCATTCATTCATTCATTCATTCAAATGATTATTAATATTACCAGTGCTCGCCCATTTTCATTATAGGACATTTTTATCACGAAAGACTACGTCTACAAGGATGAGGAAAATGATAACATTTTTGACAATAAAATTACATAAAAAGAATGATAACGATATGATATCATGACGTCACCTAACATCGTCATCATTATCCGGACAACAAATAGCCGTTGCAATTGATTTCACGAAAGATGATGATGATGATGATGATGATGATGATGATGATGATGATGATGATGATGATGATGATGATGATGATGATGATGACGTTGATGACGATGATGATGACGACGATGATAAAGATGATGATAACAAAACGATGAGACTTATAATAAAAAAGATACAACAACGAAGATGATGATGATGCTGAAGAAATGAAGATGATGGAGAGGCTGAAGTTGAGGATAAACCAAAATGCTAACCGTACATGATCACACAACAACAACAACAACAACATCTCGAAAACAACAACTTTATCACACACACAACAACAACAACAACATCATCTCGAAAACAACAACTTTATCACACACAACAACAACAACAACAACCACAACAACAAACAGCTCTGGCCATAACGAGCCAATGTACCATAAGCGTTTACGAGCTCTGCAATTGATTGATTGATATCGAGGAAATTACGTCTCTGAATAAACTATCATCATTTTCTCGTGAGAGAGAGAGAAAAAAAAAGAGAGAGAAAAAAAAGAGAGAGCGAGAGAGAGGAAGAGAGAGAGAGAGAGAGAGAGAGAGAAGAGAGAGAGAAAGATGACGATGCGTATTCCTATGTTTGTGTAGTGTAATTATTAGCCTCGTTTAACAAATTTTATTAATCGCTTTCCCATTATGCCACGAGTCTTAATTTGAAAGATGTAGGTAAAGAAAACATGATAGCTGTGTAAATTGGCAATGTAATGTATATATACTGTTTGTTAAATTTCTTAACAGACTTCTAGTTTGATTACTGTTAGGATCCTATGTCGCAATTCGAAATCTACGGATACACGCTAAGATCTAATAACGCAATTACAATGCCATTTATGCTTACACATCTTTGCCTCACTGAAAAATTTTCACAGAAATGTAGTTTAGTCAACAACTTAAAAAAAAAATAAACCATATACCGTTAAAACATAATAAACAGTCGTATGTATAAATTTATTGATCCATCGAATGTGGCCTTCATTGTGATGTTGTACAGCGACGAACAAACGTTTTGATGATGTATCAATTTATAACGCTGCACTGCACAACTACTACTACTACTACAGTTACTACTGCTGCTGTTACGACTGCTGCTGTAGCAACGGCCGCTACTTCTACTACTACTGAAAATGATAATTATGATGATATAAAATGGATATATTTATTGTTCGATTACGCCTAGCTACACATGTGTTTACCTGATTTACCGTAATGGTACTAATGATAACTCAATCTTACGACTGCTACTACTACTACTATTATCAGTACTACTACTAATAATAATATTATTACTACTACTACTGCTACTACTACTGCTACTACTGCCGCTACTACTACAGCTGTTACTACTACTACTACTACTACTACTGTTGATACTACTACTGCTGCTGATACTACTACTTAAAAATAAATAAAAGATTCAGAAAGAAGAAGTTTCGAGAGGAGATTTCAACCTCATATCACATTTCACACACATCGTTTTTCACGAAAGAATTTAATCAAATATTAACATTGCGCCGTGTGATCTGTTAAATATAATGATCTATCTGACAGAGCAGGAATCGGACTAGAATTAAAAGTATCTTTTTCGCACAAATTTTCTCAGAATATAAACAAAACACAAGAATGATTGATGATAACGAAAGCCAGTGAGTATCAAATGACGCACTGGATCTGCAGGTAAAAGTATTCATGTTGGATGGATGTGATTTTATTTTTCGAGTTTTTATCTTCTTCCACATCAGCACATATTTATATAAATTATTAATATTGTATATTTATTTGTGAAAGATGTTTACCTAGATTATGCTTCTTCCACATTAGCAGATATTTATTTAAATTTTTAATATTTTATATTTATTTGTGAAAAATGTCTACCTACATTGTGCAGTGATATCCTGGTTTAGTATTAATAAATTCACCTAACTAAGCTACTAACAATATTTTTCATTCTAGTTTAGTGTAATTTTTTCTGAGCTAAGTATGACAAAACAAAATAGTGTTTACGAGAGGAAGGCAACCACTTGATGGCTGTCTTTGAAAATCACTAAGATTATTATTCAATTATTGTTAGTATGTTATGTTGGGTTTGCTAGTAGAAAAAAATTTGTATGTTCCTACTGCTAATCGTGTTGTGTGTATATAATGTTGTATTGTATCGTATTGTATGTGTTGTATTGTATTGTTTTTTATTGTATTTTATTGTATCATATCGAATTGTATGTATTGTATTCTATTAATTAAACAAAACTGATACAGCAACCCCCAAAAACGAAAAAAAATTGAATTATTTTGATCGTAAGATGAAATAGCAGAGTAATTATCAAGAAAAAATCCTTCAATTTATGACAAAAAAATTTAACAAAATCCATGAAATTAAATGAAAAATCATGAAGTATAACATTCGATAGATACTTGCAAGCAGTTCCAGATGAGTCTGCAGTTTGAGGACCCAGTAGTGTATTCACTTCACTTTCGTAAGTTATAAAATACTCCAACTGATACCTAAAATTAAGAAAAATCGGAATTTAGCATCAAGGGTGCCTGGTCTCCCCTATATTACGCCATAATCAAGCCATGGTCATTTGGAATGCACCTCCGAATTTAAAGTGCCTACAAACAGACGCCACTAAAATATTAATAATATTATGTAGGCCTAGTTTAAACCCCGCTGTTAGACCAGGGTTTGTGAGGTTCTTGGAGGTTCTAGTTTGTAAAATACACACACACACATGTATCCAAAATTGGAATAATTCAATTGAATGATTAATTAATTAATTGAATATTTCATTATATTTCATAATATTTCGTAATTAATTAATTAATTAAATGAATATTTTAATGGGTTTTAATAATAATAATAATTGTAATCTAATTCGTAATAAAATCAATGAAAACTGATATTTTGTTAATTTAAAAAAAAATTAGTTTATCTATTTTCAAAATGTTATTTTCCTATGAGTTTCTAAGCGTTATCAAGTGATTTCATCAGGCTATTCAATTTTTCGTTCATTAAATATATTTATATAATTAAATTTTCATCAAAAACAAAACATGTATATATATATATATATATATATATATATATATATATATATGAATTTTTAAATAATTATTATATCATAATAATATTTAATTATAAATTTATCAAAAGTATGGATTTTTTAAATATACATATATATACAGTAATCATCATTATGGTGAATGTTTCTGGTGCTAATAACGAACGTATGGACCGGATGATTTGATGGTATGATTGTATGGAATAATTTCTACGTACAAATATATGCAATATGAATAATATAAACATTATTGTATTGTAATGTATTGTACTGTGTTCTATTGTAATGTATTGAATTGCGTTGTATTGTATTGTATGGTATTGGATTGTATTCTATGGTATTTCATTATATTGTATTGTATTTAAATGTTTTGTATTGAGTTGTGTTGTATTGTTTTGTAGTGAATTGTATTTTATGTTTTGTATTGTATGGTATTGTATTATTTTGTATTGTATTGTATTGTATTGTATTGTATTGTATTGTATTGTATTGCATTGTATTGTATTGTATTTATATAATAGCGTGGAAATAATGTTTGCCTCACGTGTTATAAGGAAAGAAAATTGTCGTAAATTTCTTCTGAGATGAATTAACAAACAATAACAGATCGATATGAAAATGTGTTTGTTTGTACAGATGTTTGTCTCTCTTTCTCTTCTTTCTCTCTCTCTTTCTCTCTCTTTTTGTCTTTCTCATTTTGCGCGTGTGTGTTTTAACCGGACACACTACACACACACACACACACACACACACACACACACACACACACAACACACAACACACACACCTATACCTACACACACTCACACACACACATACACAAATGATTATGATCATTGGGTCTTGCATAGCTAATCGGTAGCTAATAGGTAGTTAGAAATTATTCATACTGACGATCATTTACTATTAATTAACAAAAGCGCTCTGAGAAAACCACAACTAGCTTAGTTGTCCAATAATGCAAGGCTAAAACGATACTTTAAGGAAAAATCTGACCGCGATTCTGTCTAAGAAGCAATTAAATTGAATTTATTTGAAATACCAAAATTTTTGCTAGATTAGTAGAAGTGGAGGATATTTACTTGATGAATTACAAACATTATTATTAAGGTATCTATTTTTGAATAACCGCAGAATCACAATTCAGACAGAATCTGAAGTTTTGTTGAAGTTCTGTAATGAAATTTTTATTTTTTTTTTCTATATCCAGAAAAATGTTTCAAACCGGGGTGAAATAGTGGAGTTTTGAGGATTCATTTGGCTCCGTTCGTTATTTATGATCAGTGTGTTGTGGGCATGTATTTTTGTGCTGTATTGATCAGAACTGTTTGGACATGGGTGTACTATGTTTTAATGTTCTGTTCTGTTTTTGTGTTTTTCGGGGTTTTGGTTTTTCTGTATTGTCATACGTTTTGCGTTCGATTTTATTGAGGTTTTATAATGTAATTATACAGGGTATCTTGTATTTTTAACGTTTTGTATTAAATTTTGTTGTGCTAATATGAGGTGGTTAATGTAGAATAATTTGATGATAGTCCACATTAAGTAAAAACTTGTCATTCTTATATTACTTCATTTCCAGTTTTATACTTTGATACCTTTCATCCATAAATCTGATTGAAAAAATAAATTTATAAAAACTATTTAAGATCAAAATTTAAAAATTCAAGTTATTAAATTGCAATTTGTTCATTCATAAGAGATATTTTGTAAAATTAATCGTGTGCATAGAACAGAAATAATTGAAAAATTTGTTCTTTAACTTACCACACTTAGCTGTTTTTGCATCGTCTTAGCTAGTATCATTTTCATAACAAACCCTCTTTAAGCGAATGTGGAATGTTTTTCATCTTTCCTAATTTGTAGAAAAACCATTTTTTTATTACTCAGTTTTAATTGTTTATTATTAAAAAATAAAAATTAAATCTGCAATGTCGGAAAGTTATCTGCATTTAATGAGGGTGAACATACGTCCGTATGCCTACATCAAGGATGTGATATCCGGATGCTGGCGCAATATTCAGGACGGCATTAGAGACAAGGGGACCATCGTTTACGGATTCAAAGTTATCGGCGAGAATTGCCTTGTTTTCAGTTCGTAGATTTGTTTTGTCGTGTTACGTTGTTTTCCAATTTTGGTATAAAATAAAATATATCTATGTAGTAAAAAAATAAATAATTATTATAGTTGAAATTTAAATTAAATATTAAAAGCTAACAAATTAAGATCTTTACTTCTAACAAAACCTTTAACTTAAAATTTAATTCTAATCTAAATAATATTATTACCATGATATTAGTCAATTAAATGAGATTGTGATACAAAAGTTCTAGATGGAGGCATCGAAGAAGCCCTAGAGTCAATGAACTCTGCATATGGTGAACAGATTGAAGTATCTTGCCAACCACTTCGCTCCTATGAAACTTTTGCAGAACACGTCCTCGGAGTTGAGAAGACCATTGCTCTCCCTTCAACTTCCAAACTATCAGCCAATGGTGGACAGTTGTTTTGGCTGGAGTTCAATATTGACTACCAAAGTTTGTAACATTTTTTTTTGTATTATTTTCTGTCATTTTTTTCTGGTATTTTTTGACATTGGCAGCCAAATTATGATACTCTGATACATTATTATCCCAATGTAGATATATGATATCTGGTCACAAATATGTTTAAACATAGAAGATACAATACGATTAACTTACACAAACACTAACAAATTTGAAGATGTAGAACTGTCAAGTTTCTTGAGCACATGGAAAGCAGAAGCCCTGACAGAATTTAATTTGAGGAACAATGGCAAGATGGAGTTGGAAGTCTACAAAACTGTCGGAAAAAGACAGGTTTCAACTCTTTAAATATTCCAAAGTTTCAGACTTCTTTGCAAATTAAAAAAAATTCTATGTTTTTTAAATTTTTCAGTCTATCTATTTTTAATAATTAATTTCCTGTTGACTTTTCATTAATTAAACAGATTCACCTATTTGTAAAACTATCAAGCTGCGACCTACTCGACGATATAGTCTTCACCCTACCACTCATCAAAGAATTAGGCAACCAAATTGAAATTCGATCGAAATCGATTACTAAATTATAATCTGCCGTTGACTTCCAATTAAATTCACTTTTCATACGTTAAATTAAATTCATTTCATCCATTCATACTTCATTTTGGGTATTTTGCTTGGCTTTAGCTTATGTACATTAATTTAATCATGAATTTTTAAAGTTAAAAAAAATATATAAATTACAGTTGGTTTTATGTAAAACTTAAAATTTAGTTCAGTGCTGTTGAATGTTATATACTTTGATATGGGCTAGAATTGGAAAAGTGAGTTTCACATAAAACCAGATATACTAGATAAAGCTAAAAATTTTTATTGATTTAAAACCATAGATGTAGAAAACTGCTTTTCTATATTTTATGATTTTCAAAACCATCAAAACGTTTCAAATATGAATTCGAGTACTGCTTCTGACATTTTTTTACCACATTCTGACATTGAAGCTTTCTCAATTTCTTATTTAACTTAGTTATATAATTATTAGTTCTTAGTTGATAGTTTCGTATTCTTAAGTTACTGCAGCATGTGACAAACAATTTAAGCTCATTTAGTTCATCATCTGTCAATATTCAACATTTAAAGACTGCAGCTAACAGTTGATTTGCGTTATTATAGGTACACTACACGTGTATTTTAGAACAGATACTGTAATACATATATGTTACAGCTTCGTTAAAGTTTTCCTATTAGGAAACTGAAACTTAATTTTTCCTATTACAAAACGTTGCCTAATTGGTTTTCGTAGTAAATTGGTTTTTCTCTTGTGTGTGTGTGTGTGTGTGTGTTCATTTATTTTCATTTTAATTGGACGTTCTTCTATTGAATAAAATGCTTTGGTTTTCATATTAATTTGATTCAGATTCTCGACGGTGGTGTCTTATTCTAAGGAGACATTTTTCTATCAAAAATGGTCCAAAAATGGGAAAGATAGTTTTACGCAAGAAATTCAACCTTACCTAATCAAACTAACGGAAAATTGAGAATGTATACTACAAAATGGCTTCTATGCTTAAATCTCGAATAATTTTCGCAGTATGGTTAGCGCTAAAATAATAGTACGAAGTAATAAATTGGCAGGTTTCGCTATTAAAATATACAAGTGGGAACAAATTGCACGTAGTCATATCGCTGCTTGAATGAATGAAACATAAAGTTGAATAAAACTGGTTATATCTGGTTTCAATGTATAGCATGCTGTAATGTTTTAAAATAAGCTGAAATATTCAAGTTGATTTGTTAGCTCCTCTCTATAATGTGCATATACTATTGCTTCAAAAATATCTGAATAACTAAAATTCATAGTTGATTTCACACACGTCTTTAAAAACATCACAATCCTACAACTTATATGTATATGTAAATTATCATGACATAATCTGAAATTTCAACATTTGCCACTTTGTCTTTGGCTTTCGAAGACATGCATTTCTAGATTGCTATTACAAATAAAACATTTAATAAAGCAAATTAAATCCATACGTTTTTTAAATATACACACGACACACACACATACACAAACACATATAAACACAAATATATATAGACAAATTTATAAAACAAATTTTTTTCTTTAAATTTTACAAACAATTCATAGCGTAATAAACGTAATAGACGTAATAAACCCATATTTTATTAAGGAAAAACGCAAGCCTGTGTGAATCATTGTTGAAATATTCTATTGTTAACTACAAAATAACAATTTACGTTATGGTGGTGTTTTAACACATACAGACACACACACAATATAGACAGACACGCCAACACACACAAATATAGACACACACGCCAACACACACAAATATAGACACACACACACATAAATATATATATATATAAATATATATATATATATATATATATATATATTTGTTCAAAAAATCCACCGAGGATTCAGCATTAACAAGTTTTATGGTTGATTTTCTAATATTTTGAACTAGTTCTTTACAATTAAGTCTATTCAAAATGTTGAAATCCATTTTATAATCGTTTATGATTTTAATTGTTAAAATTAATCAAGCAAGATCCCATTTTTATAATCGTTTATTTTTTATATTATTATTAAAGTTATGCATATAGATCTATTTCGACGTAAAGTCATCATCAGTGTAATATATATTTTAAATAAATTCTATTAATAGTTAATTAGTTGTATTTTTTAATATATTAAAATAAAATAAAAGTAACGAAATAAAAACGCAAAGGTTCATTGAAATTAGTAAACAAAATATTTGAAATTATACGATTGTTCATGCTACGTGGCCGTTGTCAAGATGGCAACCAACAATGTCACAAATTTGAAGCGCGAAATTAATTAGAATATCGTTTCTATTATTATTATTATTATTAATATTATTAATTATTATTATTATTATTATTATTATTATTATTGTTATTATTATCATCATCATCATCATTACCATTATTATTATTGTTGTTGTAGTTGTTGTTCTTTTTATTGTTGCTGTTGTTGTTGCTATCGTTGTTTGTATTGTATTATTTTTTATCTCATATAGCAATCCAGACTATGTTCAACAACTCTTAATGATCTTCAACCAGTCAAAAATTAATTTCACAATAGAACACGAAGCCAATAGATCTCTACCATTCCTTGATGTTCTTGTTAAACATGACAACCATAATTTTACAACTTCTGTTTACATAAAAAATACCAATAAAGGCATCTGCTTAAATGGAATAAGTGAGTGCACTGAAGGTTATAAAATCAGCACAATTAGATCATTCATCAATCGCGCATTTACACACTCGACAACAGTTGAACATGCTCAATCGGAAATCAAACGTGTCACTAACTTACTTGTTAACAATAACTACGACCTAAATCAGATTGAAAAAGTCATTATTCAGGTTAACAATAAATTCAATAACAATAACAACAACAATAACAACAACAATGATAGATACAACAACATCAACGGCATCTGTAATAACCCTGAAAATAATAGCAACGAAAATAACAATGTCGACACCCATAACAACAACACTAATAATGACAATAATAACAACAAAAAGAAGGATATTATACTCTACTACCGTAATTTCATGTCTTCCTCTTATAAAATCGATGAATTGATAATGAAGAATATAATAAAAAACAATATAATTCCTACAGATCCTAATGATAAAATCAAACTAAGGATTTTTTATAAAAACACTAAAACATCAAACCTCATCTTAATAAATAATTGCACACCACGTGTTGAATCACAACTGAAACGTAGTCATGTCATATATAAATTTTCCTGTCCAGTTGACGATTGTATGCGTCTAAAATCATCATATATCGGCATGACTACCACGGAT